TCGACGGATGCTGAGCGTTCACGGGGCAAGCCCAGATGCAGCGCTGCGAGATCGCGGCGAGATCCGCGCTCGCCTCGCCCTCCGCGCGCAGCAAACTGCGCCGCGCCCCGCGCGGCCGATCACGGGTTGACCAGCCTGCGCCCCGTTGCGGGGGGCGCCGAACCTGGCGAAGAGGTTGTCGATGTGCTCCTGCGGCAACCGATTGAAATTCATCAGGGCCGATGCCGCTTGGGCGCGCTCCACCTCGCCCAGCTGGCCGCGCCTTTCAGCTGGTCTGCGCGTCAGAAAAATCATCGGCAGCACTGGGTTGCCGTTGCTGTCTCCTCCCTGCATCAGGACAGCGGGCGGCCGCTCGTCCACGTGCGCGCGCAGTGGCAGCGAGGCGAGACGAGACGCAGGCCGGTTGGCGAAACTCTTCGAGGCTGGAGTTCGCAGCTGACCGAACCGCGACCTCCCGCGAACAACATTGGAAGGGCACGCAAGCTTGCTGCTGGAGGCCCCAAGCGCGGAGGCGTCGCATGTTGCCGCTGCCACCACCGCCCACGCCCACGCAGGCGATGCATCTGTCGGCAGCGACCAGGCCAGCACCGATGGAAGTCCATCCGAAGCGGAGCCCCCTCCATGCATCGAGGAGGCGCGGGGTCCTGGAGCCCACTGACGCCGCTGCTCGGGCAAAGAGCCTCGAATCCGCCGCGGGCATCTGTCCAGAATATGCTCTTCCTTGTCACCGTATTGGGCATTCTCTTCTGTCGTGCAGTTGTTGTGCGTGCGGCACCCAACGCATCCCACAACAGAGTTATTGGAACGCTCGTCGTGCGTCGCGTTACCATTGTACTGAACGCCGCCAACTGTACGATCGTCAAGAAGAGTCTGCATCGGTGTCCACGTCTGCCGGGTAGGGAGTGCCTGGGAGAACTGGAAGGCCATGCTCGAAGGAATCGAAACCGAATGGTCATAGGTTTGTTTTGCGGCCCATCGGAGTGCTTCCAATATAGTCGTCAGGGCCGCAACTATCATATCGTTATTGTCGGCCTGTGCCTCCCTCTGCCCTGGCAACATTCGCCGCCGGAAGCTCGGGGCGCTTCGACAACGCCGGATATGTGAACGTCGGACAAGTCGACTGTCGAACACCCTCGGCTGCACCCACGCGCGGATGCAATGGTGGCGTCGTGTCCGCTGCCTCTTTCTGCCAGGGCTCCTGCAACATAGCCATAAGGAACTCGTGGCCCTTGGGGCCAACGTCGAAGATGCGGACGCTGTGTCAGCCAACTGTTTGGCATCCGAAACTGCGCTCACAGGCGGCTGCGCTGATGGCGTCGGGGGCAAACGGGCTGCCCAGACACACCGTGTGCGGGCCTTTGGAAAGGTTTGTTTTCGGATACATATAAATATATACACACATATGTTTGTATATATATATATGTAAAAATACATTATATACGTATGTATATATATATGTGTATATATAGACACTCTGCTTTTGTAATTATACATATGTTTACACTAACATACATGTTGATATATACATACACACATACATACGTGCGATTCTCCCCCCGTAAACGCTCTCTGCGGCTGGGCGGGGTCCGCCCTGACTGTCCCCAGAGGGCCGTCGCCTCCTGCGATGAACGGGATGAAAGAGCACGAACACGATGAATCGTTGGAGCACGGCGAACGCAGGGTTCTTGAGCTTGATGTCCTTGTAGCGGCTGCATAACGCGATGAAGTGCGGGCGCCGTTGCCTTCGAAGCAGGGCCACGAAATAATGCCATGCAAGCCATGGCGGCGTGTAGAAGGGAGCCGGAGCTCCGCTACCAACTAAGGATAAAATACCATGATGATAATGGTGCTTTTCAGTATCGAACACGTAGAATGAAGACGGCGAGTGCGCGTGTGATACGGGCACGGGAACGCTGCAGTCTCCCGTGCCCCATGGCCCCCAGGGCCAACACGGCAACGGAAAAGGAAGACAAGGAAGAGGGAAAACAGGCAAGAGGTACCGTTCGAGTGGATCGAAGAGGAGGAGGGATCGAGGAGGAGGAGGAGGAGGAGGAGGACGGGGAGTTCCTGCTCCTGCCTCCCCCCCGTCGTGCTCCCCCCCCCTCCTGCCTCCCCTCCTCGTGCACCTCCCCCCTTTTCGTGCTCCTGCGTCGTGCTCCTCCTGCCTCCCCTCCTCTGCACCTCCCCCCTTTTCGTGCTTTTCCTCCTCCTCCTCCTGCTCCTCCTCCTTCCCCTCCTCCTCCTCCTCCTCCTCCTCCTCCTCCTCTCCTCCTCCTCCTCCTCCTCCTCGTCCTCCTCCTCCTCCTCCTCCTCCTCCTCCTCCTCCTCCTCCTCCTATTCCTCCTCCTCCTCCTCACCCTCATCATCACCATCCTCACAATCGTCACTATCGTCATACTGAGCATTCCCCAAATCATGCAAAAACCATCGGAAATCAATGCTCTTCCGTTTCGAATGCCACTTGGGGGTCTTCTTTGGGTCCTCTTCGGGCGTCTGGTAGGTGTCTGGGGCCTCTGTGGGCTCTCGCGGGGCCGTCCGGCCGCCCTCCTGACCGATCTGGGCCCGTTGCCTAGGCCCAGGAGCTCCAGGACCGATTGGGGCTTCAGGAGCCCGTTGCTTGGGCCCTCCTGACCGATTGGGGCTTCAGGAGCCCTGGAAAACACAGGGGGCCGTCTGCAAGGGCGTCCGGGGTGCCCCCGGGGCCAGGGATCCGGAGGGGTCCCGTTTGGGGCGGGGGTCGCAGGGGCCCAGAGAAAAATATAGAGCGGGGATTATAATGCACACGAATCCCAGGTTTCCCCATATGTTCCACGTTTTCTGGGTGTTCGTCGTCCCCTCTATTCCCCATCTGTTCCCACACGTTCCTGGGAATCGGCGTCGATGTGTCTGCGTCTTCTTCCTCGCCTGAAAGATGCGCCAGCGCACGCGATGAGAACGGCTGTCGAAATCCCACCAGCCCTCTGGGCGTAGGTGGTTCCGGGAGTTTCCTCTTCCAACCTCCTTCATCCCCTTCGGGGAGGGGTTTACCCCTCCCCCTAACCCCCTCCCCTGGACTTGGACGGGGGGGGCAGCTGGTAGTTAGAGCGTCCAAAACGGCCTCGGCGAGGAAGCCAAAATCATCGGTTTTACTAGGGTTTTGGCAGATTTTAAAGGCTCCCGAGGGGGGGGGCTAATTGGGGGACCCCCTTCCTTTGATCGATCACCTCCAAGATGGCCCCAAGAGCGCTCCCAAGGCTCCCAAGAGCGCCCCAAGAGGGCCTCAAGAGGCGCCCAGGAGGCCCCAAGAGGCGACCAGGAGGCCCCAAGAGGCCTCCAAGAGTCCCCCAAAATACCCCCAAGAGGCCCCCAAGAGGCCCCAGGAGGCTCCCCCGAGGCACCCAAGACGGTCCAAGAAGCTCCCGGGACCGCCAAGAGGGCCCCAACACGCCCCAAGAGACCTCAAAGAGTATCCCAAGAGACAGCCCAAGAGACTCCGCGAGGCATTCAAGAGGCCTTTGACTCTTCTGATCGCCCTTACCCTCCTCCTCCTCCCCCTCATCATCACCACCACCATCATCATCATCATCATCATCCTCATCCTCATCCTCATCCTCATCCTCATCCTCCTCCTCCTCCTCCTCCTCCTCCTCCTCCTCATCATCATCATCATCATCATCAGCATCCTCATCCTCATCCTCATCCTCATCATCATCATCATCATCATCATCATCATCATCATCATCACCACCACCATCATCATCATCATCATCATCACCATCACCATCACCATCACCATCGTCAAGACCACCACCATCATCGTCATCATCAGCATCATCAATATCCACATCAACATCATCATCCGCCTATTCCTCCTCCTCCTCCTCACTCCTCCCTCCCCACCCTCATCATCCTCCTCCTCTTCCGCCTCCGACTCCTCCTCCATCCCCCCCCCCCTTGGGGTACGACGGCCTCCCCAGCCCCTTGTTCCTCTGTATGCTGCCCCGCTTCCATGATCACCTCTACTCGCCTGGGCGTCGTTTCTGGATGGGCTGGTGGGGATACGCGAAGCGTCAAGAATTCCGTTTTCCAAATCCAACAACCCTAGAGCTCTTGACGAAAGAAACTGAAAGAAACCCCGGGGCGAACAAACAAGTTTCGAAAACGTGCGGTGCGACACGGATAGAGAGCCGCAGCCTGTTGAGAGAGGAAGTGGAAGAGCATCAGCAGTTGGAGCAGGAGGAGGAGGCGGACGACGAAGGAGGAAGAGGAGGGAGGTGAGGCGGACCTCTCCACCCTACTTGTCCCCCCCCTCCTCCTCCTCCTCCTCCTCCTCCTCCTCCTCCTCCTCCTCCTCCTCCTCCTCCTCCTCCTCCTCCTACCACCACTGCACAACTGCCGTTTCTGGATCCAAAACGGTTCAACCGTGTTCCATGTAGCCACGTTCTGTCATGATATGTTCTAAGATGTCCTGTTCTGTTCTCGACGGGCCAGCGTGACGCCGTGACGCCTGTGACGTTCGATGCGTCGTCTGTTACGATGCTCCGCTCAACATATATATATATACATATATATACACATATAGATGTAATATGAATGGTTATGGTATGGTTTATGGTATGATCTGCTCAACGGGACTTTGTCATGACATGAACTGTTCTACAAAATGATGTGATAGTATGATTTGTTCCGTGATGCTGTTGACTGCTCGAGCACAATATGGTATGATCTGCTCTGCTAGTAGGTTTGGCTAGGCACCGCGGCCGCGGTGTGATCTTTTATTTGATGCTGGCATGATCTGATATGATTTGATACCTTACGTCACGGTGTTTTTTTTGTTAAGCTCGGTTATGTTCACTTATGTTGTGGTATATCCCCGTCGTCTGTTATGTCATGTTATGCTCTGCCATGTTATGTGCTAGTATGTTTGTGTGACGGCTCGGTTTTGTAACATAGATTATGACCTGCTCTGCCAGCACGTGTCGCTATGCTCTGCTGTCATGTTATGATATGTTATGTGATGCTGTGTGAAAACGACACGGGCGCCAATTTCAAGAATCGCCTGCTAAGTCAGCGGTCCCACAACTCCGGTTCTTCTCAACCGAATAAGCCGTGATGCATCCGAGACGACCTAATCGGCGGGGAAAGCAGAAGGGACAATTATGGGCTCTTCTCAGCCAAACACAATATTGGAGGCATGCACGCCAAGGCTGAACGGGGTTAAAGCCACCGCCAAAAACGACAAACAGAATTTAGTGGCAGTGCTGGCTTCTTGTGACTCATCAGTGGTCGTCGTGGCGCACACCGAATGGAAATTCTTTTGGGCGTCTGTTTGCTGCCCCGTCGCCTTGGACTCAGGCTCGCACCTCCTGTCTTCCACGGGCAACCATCCACCGCCAGACTCCACGAGCCTCTTCCAAGACGCGGCAAACGCTATGTCAAGTTTCTGCTGGTCACACACCCAATGTTTCGCTAACGCCAGGTACGCATCATCGTTCACAAGAGCCAAGTCTGCTGTCAGACGCATGGTTCCAGCCAAGATGCTGGTCCTGTCCTTCGTCTGCCACTGCACCGCCGACCCAGATGGAGTTGCGACTTGCTCCCACTCCTCATCAAGCATTCCAGTCAAGAATTGGTTGGTCCATTGAGAAGGAGCTGTCGTCCACGGCCCCTCGAAGCCACTCGTCATAACGCCGGCGCCATGACACTTGCCGAAAGCATGACCACCTGCTATCAGCGAAGCTGTCTCAGAATCGTTCATCCCCATGCGGCCGAACACCTCCCGAATCTCGACGGCACTCTTCTCTGGATCTGGGTTTTGCCCACTGTTCAGATCGTTCGGGTCGTTCAAAGGCCCCTCAGGGTTCACATAGATCAAACCAACCTTCACCGCACCCATTGGCTCCTGGCAATTTCCTTGCACAACGCAGTCCGTATCTTGCCAGCTATTTGTGACGCCAAAAATATCACTCTTGTTACCATCTGCATCATCGGCTCGTCCAAAACAGTGCGGATTTGTTGGGCCTCCCATGTCCCGGATAGCAACGGTACCAGCAAAACTAATGAGGTCACCCCAACTGAGAGCATCGCCATATTTTTGCTTGATCCGTCACCGTGCCCTGAGGCACGGAGTGGGCGCGCCCTCAGGTCCTTCGCCTCCTCCCAAGAGCCGCCTCGTTCCCTGAATCCCAGTCCTCAGTCCTGAACATTTAAGGGGACCAGAGCCAAAATTACGAAATCTTATGGGGCTCGCCGCGTCGGCCCCGGGCTTCTCGCGTGACTTTGGGAGGGCAACTTGTTTGGCACCCCTCACGAAGATCGTGGCCCCCGAGCGCGAACATTTGAGCCCTCCGCCCCAAGAGGCCCCCAAGATGCCCCGAGGGCTCCCTAAGAGGCTCCCAAGAGGCCCCCAAGAGGCCCCCAAGAGGCCCCAAGAGGCCCCCAAGAGGCCCCCAAGAGGCCCCAAGAGGCCCCCAAGAGGCCCCAAGAGGCTTCGAAACTGCCTCCCAGAGGCCCTCAAGACGCCAACCACGAGATCCCAACGAACATCCATGAGGCTTCTGACCCCTCACCAAGGCACGGTGGCGGATGGGCCGAAGGCCACTAGATAGGAACGAGAAGGGCACGGGCCTTATCCAGGTTACCATTGTCCTCCCAATCTGACTCTGGTGGGAAGCGGATTCTGGCACCTCCGCAGCCCCCTTTCTGATCAGATGTGCGAAAGGTGCCAGCGCAATGCCACGCTAGGCGAATCATAAAACCACCGTCATCGGCTGGCCAGCAAGTCTGGCTGTCTGTCATGAGGACTCCGAGGTCCTGCTCAAGTGCCTCAATGTCTAGCCCTTCTAGGGCTGCCTTGAAGTCACTGTCAGAAATGACTTCTGCCTTCAAACTTGGAGGACTGCCAATGTCCATGAAGGGGCATGATCCAAATACACCAATCGGTAAAAGAGCCACGATTCATGAGTTCATCACTGCTTTGAAACAGTTTGAATCCGAATGTCGGTGGACGTTGTAATTACGGAGGGCTTCCTGAAACAGTTGAGCCTACATTGTAAATTACGGAGGGCTTCCTGCGAGCCTCTTAGAGGTCTCTCGGTCTGTTCATTGGACCTCTTGGGCGCATTCGGGGCTTTCCCCCAAGCCGTGGCTGGATCCTCGCTTTGAATAGGGCGATTGGGTCTACACCTGTTTCTCCTTCGCCCCCGTCCCGCCCTCCTCCCTTCTCCTGTCTCCCCTGTTCGCTCGCATGGCTGACCTGCCTGTTTGCGTGTTCCCTGTCTTGCCGTCCTGTCTGGCAGCTCGACGGCGCAGGGCTGCGAAATGTGAAACCGCCACTTTCGAAGGCCGCCACTGAAGGAACATCGTGGATCCAGAAAAGACCTCGCTGTTCACGGGTTGGCTGCGAAGTGCCGAACGCTTCCGGATTGAAATGATCGACCCACGAACCCGGAAAGGAACAGAAATGTAAGGCATGGCAACGTTTCAAAGACACCTGATTGGGCGACGGGCAAATGCAATGCTGAGTGTATCGATCTTGATGTACTGTGCCGAGGGCTGCGCTGTGTTACGCCGTGCTGAACTGCGATGTGCCATGCCGCGACTGTGCTCTATATAGCGTTGTGGATCGAGTCCTCCCTGGCATCCGAGTCCTGACCGAACCGATCTGCATCTTAAGCTCGCACTGCCTGAGCAGATGCTGGCTGCCAAAAAACTAGTCGACTGAGGGGACATGCCAGGAGGACGCGCCGCGAAACGTCCCAAGGGACGCGCCAGGCGACGTGCCAGGGGACGTGCCATGGGCACGCACCGCGGGACGCCCCAAGGGGACGCTCTACGGAACGTGCCATGGACGTGCCGCGGGACGTGCCAGGGGACGCGCCGCGCGACGTGCCACGGGGACTGTGCTGTGCTGTGCTGCACCGTGCTGAATTGCGATGCGCCATGGCGCGAGTGTGTTCTATAGCGTCGTGGATCGAGTCCTCCTTTGCATCCGAGTCCTGACCGAACTGATATGGATCTTAAGCTCGAGCTGCCTGAACACATAGTAGCTGCCCCAGAGCTGATGGACAGGGGAACATGCCAGGAGGACGCGCCGCGAAACGTCCCAAGGGATGCGCCAGGCGACGTGCCAGGGGACGTGTCATGGGGACGCACCGCGGGACGTGCCAAGGGGACGCGCTACGGAACGTGCCAATGGGTGTGCCACGGGATGTGCCAGGGGACGCGCCACGCGACGTGCCACGGGGGCTCGTCAAGGGACGCCCCACGGAACGTGCCAAGGAACGTGCCAAGTTGCAATGCTGAGTGTATCGATGGCGCCATGACGTACCAAGGAAGTGCCACGGAACGTGCCAAGGAAGTGCCACCAGCCCCGTACCCCAGAGTAGTCAACGGCATGTGCCTGTACACTGCGCGCTGATTGATGTCCATGGCAAGGCACTCTTCTGACGTGAGTGTCACTGGCCACGCGATCTTGCATTCTAGAACTGGATAGAAATAGTAAGGGGCCTGAGGGGAACTGTCGGCCTGCCAGTGGCGACAACTCGTCGTGGCAGCCGCTGTTTTCTGCATATACAACATTTCCAAATATGAATTCCTCTGCCTAGTCTTACCCCTCACGAAAGGAATGGCACGTTGAGGGATCGCGGCCAATATGGGTGCTCTCGCTGCAGCGTCAGGTACTGCAATCCGAACGCAAAGACTAGCAATACCTTGAAGGCTCGTACGTTGCGGGTCCCGCAGACTTCGAGCCAGTAGCCAGCATCGAAGATGCGTTTCTGGCTGGGGAGCCGCACTTCTCAGCCACCGCTGGCGGAGCGTTGATGGCAGGAGGCTGAGGGGGGGGGAGGGGCTGCAACTCCGCGAGGGGACGGAGACCCCAGGGCCCCCAAGATGGAGAGAGGAGGGGAGGTCGAATGGGATCCATGCTCCATGGGATGTGAACCTCTGTGCCGATTTGCGGCGTGCGTCCGATGATGGCAGCTCACGAAGATGGTGATCAGCTGCGCAGGTGGCAGGCACCCAGGCAGGGCAGTTGCGCAGTTGGCAGCCCCCAGGGAGGGCGAGGTCCCCTTTCTGGGCTCGCGTGGGACGTCACTCGGCTGGACCTCCCAGGAGCTTACAAAAGCGGCGACATCTGCGGACCTGGCGAGGCCCCTTTTGGGTCCCCGATAGGCGTCACTCCGCTGGGCCTCCCAGGAACTTAAGGAAGTGGTGGACATGTGGGTTGTTACAAGTGTTCGTGGCCTCAGAAGCGCGGATCCATGGTTCGTTATTCGGAAACGTGGCATCAGTGGCGTTGTATAATGCATTATTTCTTTGGCTAGGGATCGTGGCTTCGGAAGCGCGGACCCATGGTGCTTTACACATGATCGTGGACCCTGGAGCGCAGATGCGTTTTGAGACGAGGCGTCGTGGGCTCGGGGGCGCGGATACATAGTTCTGTGAAGAGAAATGGAGCCATATTGGGTGCCGTATAAAGAACCATCGCGCGCGCTCAAGTTCTAGCTAGCTTGAAGGATTGCGCGTAGCGAAGGATAGCGCGATGCGGCTCTTAGGCCGTCTCGGGACTCTCGTCGAGCCTGTTTGGGGCTTCTTGGGGACCTCTTGGGGCCTCTTGGGGGCCTCTTGGGGCCTCTTGGGGCCTCTTGGGGACTTCCTGGGGGCCTCCTGGGGCCTCTTGGGGGCATGTTGGGGCGGAAAGCTTGATTTTTCAGTTCGCGCTCCCTCTCTTGGGCCCCTCTTGGGGCCTTCTTGGGACCCTCTTGCGCCGTCTTGGGCGGCTCTGGAGCCGCCTCGGGGCTCTCTTGGGCCGTCTTGGGGCCCTCTTGGGCCCTCTTGGAACGGCTTTGGGAGCCTCGTGGGCGGTGCTTTAGCGCTGGAAACACGAAACAGCGAGAATACAAAAATAACATTGAAAAAACACTGAAAATCAACGAGTTGCCCTCTCGGGGCGTTCTTGGGCGGCATCTTGAAGACCTCTTGGGGCGTCTAGGGGGCCTGGGGCAGTTCAAAACGCATCGTGCGTCGCCAAAGACCTCTGGACGGCGTCTGGGGGTGTCTCGAGACCGTCTGGGGCCGCCCGGATTGCTGTCTGAGGGCTCCCTGGGGCGATTTTACGTATCCCAGACGCGCCGGGCCCTGGGGCCCACATTTGCGGTCGAGGTTCCGGCCCTCGGCCACCGGGCCCGGTGCGCCGTTCTGTGCATATGCGATACGATGCTTTGCTATGCTATGCTATGCTACGCCATACTGTGTGATGCGATGGTACGCTATTATATGAGATGCTATGCTATGCGATGCTATGCTATGCTATGCTACGCCATGCTCTTCTATTATGTGCTGTGCGATGCTATGCAATGCTATGCTCTGCTATGCGATGCAATGCTGTGTTGTAGCTCCAGTTGGCCCCCCCTTCCTCCCCCCTTCACCACACACACAACCGCCTTATCACCCGAAGGGTGGTCGTGCATGTAGGTACTAACTGGCAGGATCTCGCGGCCAGAGACGCAACCGCCTCGCGCAAACTTGCCTGGAATGGGAACGATCTGGGAGGAGCGGGGAGGGGTGCGGAGTGGGGTGTCTTGGGGTGTCTTGTGGGCCTCTTGGACTGTCTCAGAGCGCACTGGGATCCACAGGCGCCAACTGAGGCCGTCTTGGAGGGCTCTGTGGGACGTCTTGGGGCGATCCTGCGGGCTTCTTGGGCCGTCTTGGACGCCTTTTTGGGATGTCTTGCGGCGATCTTGGGGTTATCTCAGCGCCTTCGGGCCCTCCGAAAGCCCCCCGAAGGCCCGCAATGAGTCCCGGACCCCGAGGGACACAGTGGGCACCGCAGGGGGGAGGGGGGAGTTTTGGAGAGTGGGCCGCCTCGGGCCCCAGAGGCCTGGTCGCAGGGTCCGCATGGTGATGGCGGGCAACTATGATGAGCGCTTGCGCGCTCCAGTCAGAGCCACCTTGAGCCAAAATGGCTACGGATACTCGTGGAGCGTCTTTCGGGGCCCCTTTGGGGCCTCGTGGGGCCTCTAGGGGGCCCCTAGAGGGCCTCTTGGGCTCTGGGGGCCTCTTGGGGCCTCCTGAAAGCCTCTTGGAGTGGAAGGCTCGCATTGTCGAGTCGTGCTCCCCCTCTTGGGCCCCTCTTGGGGCCGTCTTCAAACCGTCTTGGGGCCCTCTTGGGCGATCTTGGGCGCCTCTTGGGCCGGCTTGGGGCACTCTTGGGCCGTCTTGGGACTCTCTTGTGCCGTCGTGGCGCACTCTTTGGGTGCCTCTCAGGCCGTCTTGAGCTGATTGCTGGGGCCTCGTGGACCGTCGGAAGCACGAAACAGCGAGAACACGAACAACCTTAAACCCAGTCAGCAAGAAAAACATACTTTTTCGCCTCTTGAATGCCTCGTGGGAGTCCTTTTGAGGGCATCTTGGCCGACTTGGAACCCTCCTGGGTACAACGCTCTTGTGCGGTCTTGGGCTCTCTTGGGGCGCTCTTGGGCCATCTTGGTGCCTTCTCGGACGTCTCTCGGCCCCCTTTGGCGTGTTTTGGCGCCCCTCGCTGGGCCCGAAACGGCCGAAAGGCAAATCGCTGCACTTTGGGGCCCCCAGGACCCCCTGCTCATTATATGTGTAAATATATATGTGTGTACATATGCACATATTTATATGCGTACATACATGTGTATATATATACACATCTATATAGATGTCACGCAAGCTACCGAACAACACAAACTTGCAAATGACGTGTGCAATTGATCCTCCGGTACGTGCTACGTGATGTTCGCGCATGGTTGCGCTTTCGCGCGATTCCCTATCACACCGCGTCGCATTCACGCCGGAGGCATGCCAGCTTCAAGGTTGCTGGAGCTCGAACTGGCACAACCAAATCAAAGATGATTCGAGTGCCAGACGGCATTGTCGGGGCCTGGCGGACATCCACCGCTGGGTCACGGGTCGCGCGCAGGCTCCAAAAACAAAAAAGTTCATTTATGAAGCGCAGCCAAGGGGAGGGGCCAACCACACGAGGGGGTCGGGCGGAAGTCTCCATCAGGAGTCTTGACAAAGCACGCTCTTTTCACGACACTCGCTGGGGCCCAGTCGCCCGAAGTTGTTCGAATCACGATTCACCGTCGAGACGAGGCGAGCAGCACTCAAAGCCGGCGCCACAAGCGCCCGCAACCTATGCCACGGAGCTCGCCACATTTCTAAAGTTATCGTGAAAACCCTCGAAAGGGGGGGGTCGGGAACCGAAAAAGCTATGAGCAACAAGGACAGATCAGGCTGCAAGGGCAAAAAGCTTCGGGTTTTTGCTAATCGCGCCAAGGCCGGGCGCGATTAGCGAAAACCCGAGACTTTTCGACGACTGTAGTTTACAGGCGACGCACGGCCCCGACTCCCTAGATAGCACATAAAAGACTGCTTGAAAAAATGCATTTATGCAGCGCAGCGAAGGGGAGGGGCCAACCACAAGAGGGGGTCGGGCGGAAGTCTCCATCAGGAGTCTTGACAAAGCACGCTCTTTTCACGACACTCGCTGGGGCCCAGTCGCCCGAAGTTGTTCGAATCACGATTCACCGTCGAGACGAGGCGGGCAGCACTCAAAATCGGTACCGCAAATGCCCGCAACCTATGCCACGGAGCTCGCCATGACTAAAGTTATCGTGAAAACCCGCGCATGTGCGTTCGCTCTATCGGAACCCATGCACTATACAAGCGCGAAAGTCTACGCGAGCCAGGAGTGCGCGCCAAGGCTGAACGGGGTGAAAACCACCGCCAAAAACGACAAACTGAATTTAGTGGCAGTGCTGGCTTCTTGTGAATCAGCAGTGGTCGTCGTGGCGCACACCGAATGGAAATTCTTTTGGGGGTCTGTTTCCTGTCCCGTCGCCTTGGACTCAGGCTCGCACCTCCTGTCTTCCACGGGCAACCATCCACCGCCGGACTCCGCGAGCTTCTTCCAAGACGCGGCAAACGCTATGTCAAGTTTCTGCTGGTCACACACCCAATGTTTCGCTAACGCCAGGTGCGCATCATCGTTCACAAGAGCCAAGTCTGCTGTCAGACGCATGGTCCCAGCCAAGATGCTGGTCCTGTCCTTCGTCTGCCACTGCACCGCCGACCCAGATGAAGTTGCGACTTGCTCCCACTCCTCATCAAGCATTCCAGTCAAGAATTGGTTGGTCCATTGAGAAGGAGTTGTCGTCCACGGCCCCTCGAAGCCACTCGTCATAACGCCGGCACCGTGACACTTGCCGAAAGCATGACCACCTGCTATCAGCGAAGCTGTCTCAGAATCGTTCATCCCCATGCGGCCGAACACCTCCCGAATCTCGACGGCACTCTTCTCTGGATCTGGGTTTTGCCCACTGTTCAGATCGTTCGGGTCGTTCAAAGGCCCTTCAGGGTTCACATAGATCAAACCAACCTTCACCGCACCCGTTGGCTCCTGGCAATTTCCTTGCACAACGCAGTCCGTATCTTGCCAGCTATCTGTGACGCCAAAAATGTCACTCGTGTTACCATCTGCATCATCGACTCGTCCAAAACAGTGCGGATTTGTTGGGCCTCCCATGTCCCGGATAGCAACGGTACCAGCAAAACTGATGAGGTCACCCCAACTGAGAGCATCGCCATATTTTTGCTTGATCCGTCACCGTGCCCTGAGGCACGGAGTGGGCGCGCCCTCAGGTCCTTCGCCTCCTCCCCAGAGCCTCGTTCCCTGAATTCTCGTTTCCGAACGTACTGCAGTGAATGCTTTGGCCTGCGTCGCTGTAACCGTCCAGTGCCGCGTACTCACTGCAGCTTTTACCAGCGTCGTCCCTCCAGTCGCCCCTCGTGTCGGCGCACCTCGTCGAACTCGCACCACCCTGGGCACGCTGCCTCCTCGTCAATAGCTGTCGGTGCGAATTCTGCCTGGCTTGCAGCATCAGCTGGAGGTTGCCTGCTGAGGCCAGACCAGACGCGCCGCGGACCCCGACGAGGCTAGCGATCAAAAGGAAATGTGCCATCTGCAAGTCGACTGTACCACGGAGATACGGTGAGAGATGCGTGCGTCCTCGGGGTGCACACGTGTGCGCCTGGAGACAATATGGCTTGAGCCAAGACAGGTACGATACCCCAAACATGTGTCCAAAACCAACAGCGGCCGCTGTTGTGCAGGCGGCCGCGTGTCTCACATGGATGACGTCTGCGACGCCACCGACAACGAACCCCGTTCAAGCTGGTCGTGGCTCATCAAACCTTTGTCGCAACGCCGTGACCAAGAAGACCCCACGGCGCCCATCGCAAACCACACCCCCGCGTAACCGCACCCACTGCAGTTGCCGAAAACGGTCCTCTATCCAGCGGCGGATCCGCACGTTCCTGGGCGGGGTGGTCTATCGGGCCCCAACAGGAATGGCGTCGTGCTCACAGGCATGGTGTGGTGCTGACAAGCATCGGAGGTCCTCCAGAAGTCGACAGGAGCGGTCGTCGAGGTCGTCGTCGTCGTCACCGTCGTCGTCGCGGTCGTCGTCGTCGTCGTCGTCGTCGTCCTGGTCGTCCTCCTCATCGTCGCCGCAGTCGTCGTCGTCGCCGTCGTCGTCGTTTCCGAAGGCCTCGGAGGGCCTTCAGACGCCTCCAGAGGCCTCCTCCGGGTTTCTCCTGAGGTCTCCAAAGACCTCTGGAGATCTTCAGAAGCGGCCAGAATCGTCGTTGTCAACGTCGTCGGTCGTCGTCGAGGTTGTTCTCGTCATCGTTGTCGTCGTTTGCGGGGGGGGGGCCTCCAAGGGCCTTCAGACGCCTCTGGAAGCCTCCGGAGATCTGCTGAGACCTTCAGAGGCCTCAAGAGACCTTCAGGGGCGGCCGTCGACGTCGTCGCCGTCGTCGTCGTCGCTCGCTGTTGCTATAGTTGTTGTCGTAAGGCGCTAGGGGCCCCACCCCTTGGGCCCGACCACGTTGCCGTTACCCCTCCACCGGGGCCCGATCCGACCCCCCCCCGATAGCTGACGCTACGGTGGGATAGTAAAATTATGCTGCTTTGAGCGATCCCCACCGGAACCTTAAGCGTTTGTTCCAGACGGCGCGCGGTCGCCTAATTGGTGGAACGCTGCGCGCGGGGCCCTGTGGTCTCGGCCAGTGCGGCGGTCGGACCTGGTGGCAAATTCCGTTCTCCAAATCCAACAACCCTAGAGCTCTTGACGAAAGAAACTGAAAGAAACCCCGGGGCGAACAAACAAGTTTCGAAAACGTGCGGTGCGACACGGATAGAGAGCCGCAGCCTGTTGAGAGAGGAAGTGGAAGAGCATCAGCAGTTGGAGCAGGAGGAGGAGGCGGACGACGAAGGAGGAGGAAGAGGAGGGAGGTGAGGCGGACCTCTCCACCCTACTTGTCCTCCTCCTCCTCCTCCTCCTCCTCCTCCTCCTCCTCCTCCTCCTCCTACCACCACTGCACAACTGCCGTTTCTGGATCCAAAACGGCTCAACCGTGTTCCATGTAGCCACGTTCTGTCATGATATGCTCTAATATGTCCTGTTCTGTTCTCGACGGGCCAGCGTGAACCCGTGACGCCTGTGACGTTCGATGCGTCGTCTGTTACGATGCTCCGCTCAACACATATATATATATATATATATGTAATATGAATGGTGATGGTATGGTTTATGATATGATCATCCCTGCCACCACATGCTTTGACGTGTTATGGCATGATCTGCTCAACGGGACTTTGTCATGACATGAACTGTTCTACAAAATGATGTGATAGTACGATTTGTTCCGTGATGTTGTTGACAGCTCGAGCACACTATGGTATGATCTGCTCTGCTAGTAGGTTTGGCTAGGCGCCGCGGTCGTGGTATGATCTGTTTTTTGATGCTGGCATGATATGGTATGATATGATACCTTACGTCACGGTTTTTTTTTGTTAAGCTCGGTTATGTTCACTTATGTTGTGTTATATCCCTGTCGTCTGTTATGTCATGTTATGCTCTGGCATGTTTTGTGCTAGTATGTTTGTTTGACGGCTCGGCTCTGTAAAAAAGATTATGACCTGCTCTGCCAGCACGTGTCGCTATGCTCTGCTGTCATGTTATGATATGTTCTGCGATGCTGTGTGAAGACGACACGGGCGCCAATTTCAAGAATCGCCTCCTAAGTCGGCGGTCCCACAACTCCGGTTCTTCTCAGCCGAATAAGCCGTGATGCATCCGAGACGACCTAATCGGCGGGGAAAGCAGAAGGGACAAGTATGGGCTCTTCTCAGCCAAACACAATATTGGAGGCATCTGGCGCGTCCATAATACTATTCGTCTCGCAAAGAACGGGTGGCCGGCGACTGGCCGGCGAGCCGTCCTATCGCGAGCGGGCTCGAGCGCGCCGCGCAGAGCCGGGAGCTCTCGGCTCAGTATCCGATTGCGACGGAGCCCCGTCCATGCGCAACTTCACCATACGGGCGAGCCTTCAGTGACAGCGTCTTCTGGCACCCTTCCTCAGGCGCCGCAGCCTCCGCGTGGTCGTCATCTCCCAGCAGCCCTCCTACAGGAAATCCAACGCGCTGAAGGTTCTTGACGTAGACGTTCAGATAATGCTGCCCCTTGTCGGTATGACCGTTGCCGACTTTGAGCTTCACCGGCCCGAGCTTCAGCCACTTCGGCGTCTCGTCTCGCGCACCGCGAGCGTCGAAGTGGAAGCCCCCGGGCCGCGCCTTGTTCGCCCACGCCCCTGTGACGTGGATCTCCTGGAAATACATGTCCGAGCAATGTGACCCGAATCGACGCGCATCGGCCTTTACAACAAGCAACGCATCCTCGACTGGCGTTCCGCGTGGAACACTGACCAAAACAGACGTGCCGGGCCTCGCCAAGTCGAACCGCTGACCGAACATGTTCTGCAGGTGTGGATCGCCGGTAGCGGCGGCTGGCGACGCTTGCGGTGGGCTGGGCGTTGGGCTGGGCGACGGGCTGGGCGTGGGACTGGGCGTGGGACTGGGCGTGGGACTCAGCGTGGAGCTCGGCGTCGGGATCGGGGTTGGATCCCCGCTGCCGCCGCCGTAATCGCAGCAAACGTCATTGGCCCTGCCGTAGCCGTAATCCCACCAGCCCGTTGGGCGACAGGTGGTCTAACGAGATTCCTGTTCCCTCTCCCAAAAAGATCACTCTTCCCCTACGGGGAGGGGTTTATCCCTCCCCTGACCCCTCCCCTGGACTTTTTGGGGGGGCCCACGAGGTGTCAGGGCGTCCACAACGGCCTCGGCGAGGAAGCCAATATCATTGGTTTTACTCAGGTTTGGGCCCCATGTTGGCCTCTTGGGGGGGGGCTGAAAAACGTCCCACCAGCCCTCTGGGCGCCAAAATCATTGGTTTTACTACGGTTGTGGTCCCATTTTGGCTTGCTTTGGGGGGGGGAAAAGTTATCCCACCGGCCCTCTGGGCGCCAAAATCACTGGTTTTACGAAGGTTGTGGCCCCATTTTGGCCTCTTTGGGGGGGCTCAACGTTGTCCCAGCTCCTCCTTTGATCGATAGCCTTCAAGATGGCTCCAAGAGGCCTTCCAGGGCTCCAAAGAGGGCCCCAAGAGAGCCCCAAGAGGGCCCCAAGAGGCCCCCCAGAGGCCTCCAAAACGCCCAAGATGGCCTCCAAGACGGCCAAGATGGCCCCAAGATGCCTCCAAGACGGCCCAAGATGCACTCCAGATGGCCCGAGACGGCCCAACAAGAGGCCTCCAAGACGGCCCAAGAGGCCTCCAAGAGGTCCTCCAGGAAAGCCCGAAGAGGCCAAAATCATGTGTTGTGCTTCGGTTTTTGAAAGATCTTGGCATTTGCTTCTTTTCCGTAGTCCGACGGCTCAAGACAGCCCAAGAGGCCCCCAAGATCGTCCACGAGGCCTCCAAGATGGCCCCATGACGGCCCAAGAGGCCCCCAAGACGGCCCCAAGAGGGCCCAAGAGGCCCCCCAGACTGCCAAGATTACCGCCAAGACGGCTAAAATGGCCCCAAGATGCCTCCAAGACGGCCCAATATGCACCCAAAACGGACTAAGATGGCCTCAAGATGGCGCAAGACGGCCCAAAAAGAGGCCCCCAAGAGGCATCCAAAACGGCCCAAAAGGCGTCCAGGAGGTCTTCCAGGAGGGCCCGAGGAGGCCAAAATCATGTTTTGGCCGTAGGTGTTTGACAGACTTTGGCATTTGCATTTCTCGGCATTCCGACGGCTCAAGACGGCGCAAGAGGCCCCCAAGCTCGCCCAAGAGGCCTCCAAGCTGGCCCCATGACGGCCGCAAAGGCCCCCAAGACGGCCCCAAGAGGGCCCCCAAGCGGCCCAAGAGGCCCCCAAGGCGCCCAATATGGCCTCTCAGAACCCCAGATATGCCCCAAGAGGGCCCGAAGACGACCCAGACAGGCCCACAAGACGGCTTCCGACGGCGCCAGACAAGCCAGGAACGCCCTAAGACGGCCAAGGAGGCCCCCAAGAAGCCCCCCAAAGCCACCAAAAGCCCTCCAAGAGGCTCCCAGGAAGCTCCTAGGAGGCCCCAAGAGTGCCCAAAGAGGCGCCCAAGAGGCCTCCTCCTCCTCCTCCTCCTCCTCCTCCTCCTCCTCCTCCTCCTCCTCCTCCTCCCCGTGCCGAAGGTGTAAATGGCCCCAGTCTGGTGTTTTCGGGGAGGACGCACGGGGCGGCCTGTAAGGAGATGGGGGATCTCTGAAGAGCACCTCCCCTGAGCGCACTGGGGTTTCGCCACCAGGGCGACACAGGCCAGCGGGCTGTCGATCGGCATGTTTGTTCGACGCATGCATGTGGACATGTTCATGTGAATGATCTCTTTGAGGGTCGATTTACGTTACTCCGACCCCGATCCCCAGCCACGCCGTGGGGGAGTAGTAAGGTAGGGTCATGCGTTGACATGTTGACAGTGCTCAGGCCGTAAATCAAGGGCAGAGCGGAATGCACAAGCTAAGGGCAAGAGGGAAGGTCGAGAGTGGGATGGGGCGAATTCCATTCCCCAGCCACGCCGGGGGGGGTATGAAGAGCGTGGGCTGGGGCGAATTCCATTCCCCAGCCACGCCAAGAGGGGGCATCTGGGTAGGTTTGTCGAGCGTGGGCAGTTGCGAAATAGTGCCACAGAAACTGCAGCAATTTCTGCCTGGCACCTGAGACGCCCATCACCTCACCCAGCGGTGAATGATTACATGT